AAAATGTGTGTGCTGGCGGGCACGTGGGGGGGGGGGGTGTGTGTTCTGAAGTCTTGTTCCCTTGCCTAGATGCATTATTCCCACCCCTCTTCTCCACCTGCCAAGAAATAAAATAGTTAAATTGTGCAAAGGACTAGTTTACAACATGACTTGACAGCTCCGTAGGTCTGGCATCCTCCAAAGAGCTCCACTTTGCCCTCCAGTACACAACGTTGACCAGTGGTACTGACCAAGGTGCCCTGAGCCTCAGCAGGACTTGTGTCACCCCACAGAGCAGATCTCTGCTGTGAGCATGGCCTTGGTTTGATATTTAAGATTGCAGTCAGAAACTCCAAGTATCCAAGCAGCTGCTGCCCTAATACCTGCATTGGTGATGGAAGAAAGAGTCTGGCTGGGGAGTGTGGGGCTCGTGGACCTACAGACATCCCATGAGAAGTGTGGTCTTGTGTAGATAGGAAGGGCACAGCACAACTGCTGCATCTGGCATCCTTGGTCCCTCTCGCTGCTGTTTTCCTGTGGTTCAAATCCATCAGGATGTGGTGTAAAGCCCTCCTGGGTAGGGATGGGTCAAAGGGAGGGGAACCTCCTGGTGCTTCCCTGGTCTCCTGGGAAGAGGGAAGCAGGGAAGTTGGGGTTATCTACGATACCCCTTCCCTACCTCCCCTGGCTCTTCTCCCTTCCCCCCGTTTGCTGAGAGTTTGATACATCAAGCAGAATTTCTGATGCAGTCTCTGGGCAGGGAGCCAGCCCATCATAGAGCACTTGTTTCGGATTTGCAATCAGGCTTTCAAGGCGAGGAGACAGGAGACTGCTGAAATGGGACTGGGAACCTGGCAGAAGCACCGCTGCAGATGGAGGGGGGGGGGGCACTTGCGCCTGAGGAGCTCTTGGCAGGAGCTTTGCCAATGCATGCGGGAGCATTTAGGGTGAGGGGATCTGACCCTGGGATGCTCCATCCATCCCAACTGCAGATGTTGATTAGCAACCCCAAGCAATGTTTTCCCTCCATGTTTGTCATCTGTGATGGAATTTATTGATTCTCCTCATCGTAATCTTTTCCAGCAAATGCCAAACAGCCAGAGAAGCACGCTCACAGCCTGTTACTGAAAAGATGGAAGAAATATCTGTGCCCACTGTAAAAATCCCTCTGCCAGAATGTGCTTTCAGGAAGACTGCCTCAGCATTGCCAGCCCTGGCTGTTGAAGAGTCAGGAAGAAAGTCTGCACCCCCTGGCCAAATTGAGAAAATCATAACTCAGGAAACCCCCCCAGTTTTAGAGTTCATTTGATTCATCTGCCGGTGTTGGAACTTTTAGGACTGTTCAGGCTCTTCTCTGCAACCACAAGGATTTCATGAAAACTGAGGTGCTTAGAAAATCATTTGAACCTTTTGCAATCAGGGGAAAACAGATATAAAACTTTCACTAAAACTCCCAGATCTGCTCCAGAACCAGACAGAAACTCCATTAAACCCTGGGGGAAGCAGTACCTCGGTTTCTGGTTCTGACCCATCTGGTGAGGATATGGATCCAAATTTAGTGATTCATTGACTGCAAAGCCAGCAAAGAACATTTGGCTCATCGATCTAACCCACGGCAAAATACAGGCTGTAGCACATCCCTTAATTTATTCCTGTTCAATTTGTTAAGGGAAAAAACCCAAACACTCAATCTGATGTACAATTACAAGTGAGGCTGAACTTGTCAGAATCATTTCTCTATTACTGCAGTGGCAGGTATTCTCACAAGCGCTTTGCTTTTAGTTTGACTCTCCTCTATCCTCCATTGCATCTGCATACCCTCATCTCTTCAGCTGAATAGCTCTTTTAGCCAACATCTCTTCTGCCTTTCAATATTTTGGATAGTGCTCAAGTCATTTTTTCACCTCCTATTTATTAAGCTAAACAGATTGATCTCGTTAGACTGATGGTCTTTCCAGTTCCAGGGACCTTCTTACTGTGATGGGGACGGAATATGGTCGTCTACCCAAAGTGGTCACTCCGGTGAGGTCCACCTATTGCGTTTAGAGCCAAATCTCCACCTGATGCAGTGAACCTTGTTTAGGTGGCTGTGGTCCAGCCACATGCCTTTGCTGTCGGAGGGTATCTGCTTGGTTAGCCCTTGCACATAAAATACGTGGTGGTGCTCGGTTTGAAACACCAGCCATTAACTGGTTCTGCTTTGGTCACGGCTTTCTAAAATAGGTATTCGGACAAGCACAAGAGAAAGCCCTGGTCTTCTCTTTGCCTGCTGCGTCCCCTGTGTCCAGCTGCTGTCTCAGTGACACAGGTCCCAATCCTCATCCATCACCAGCTGGCTCTGCATCCCACTTCTGAGGGGCGGGTTGGCTCTTTGGTGCTGTCACTAAGCATTTATCACCTTCTAGTAAAGCAGCGCCGCGGGCTGTGGATGTAACATCGTGAGCAGCATGGCAGGCTGAGGATGGGTGGCTTGCCACAGGAGGAGGAAAGGAGGGGAGCCTGGGGTCACTTCTCCACTCCTGAAGGCCAGCAAGAAGACAGTTCTTGCTCTCTCCAGCCTTCTCCTTGAATACTGACCTAGCTTTAGTCTGATCGGAAACCAAGCCATGATACTCTGAGGCATAGTCCCCTGCAGAGCTATGACTTTATCCTAAGCCATATATATATTTATTTTAAAAAATATATAGTTATAAATACATAC